TTTTATTCCTTCAATATTTTACTTTCTTTTGTTTTCTCTCATTTCATGTCTCCTTTTTTGGCGGGGTTTATATTTTCATTTCTTATCCAGTTTCTTGTTTTGATTATCTCTTTTAATAGTTCCTCTCTTTCGTGTTTATAGATTTTCGTTTTCTTAGTTGTGTTGATTAATTTTTATATAAACAAGCACGAGATTAGAAGAGCAACCCCACCCACTCCCCCTTCTCCACCCCCCACCCCCCTTTCCCCCACCCACCCACTCCCCCTTCTACACTCCCCTTTCTCCCACCCACCCCCAGTCTCCCTCTCCCCACCCTCCTCTGAGTACAAGCCATCAACAACTTTATTACCTCTTTCCATAAAGCTGAAATTGGCACCATAAATGACCCTCTAGGGAGCTGGTGCAACACGACAGCTGGTTCGTCAACAACACTGCCCCGCCAGATATGATGTTCTCACAGCTGGTTATGCAAGAGAGGAAAGGAGGGGAGGGGAGGGGAGGGGGTGAGAGGGTCGGGGGAGTGAGAGGGTTGGGGGAGTGAGAGGGGTGGGAGGGTGAGGGGAGAGGGAGATGGAGTAGTGGGTGATGTTCAGAGTACAGTAGATTAGATATCGTGAATTCAGTCTATATCAAGTTGTAATCGCTGAAGGTGTTGTCTGCTTACTGCTGCTGATCACTGCTTCTCGTAGTCCTGTCTCTCTGCTGCTTTACTTCTGCTCTGTGTTTATGGTTCAGAATATTTACTCCACTTAAATTAATGGAGTAAATACCCACTCTTATCTGACCTAACTATACCTAACACCTGCCGAGGAAAGCACCTATTACCTGCCTCCCTCCCTCCCTCCCTCTGCATCGTCTGGTAGCGTCAGCATTAGTCAGGAGCGTTGTCAGCCCTTGTTTCAGCATTCTCTACCCAAGGTAACCAAACAACTGACTCAATTTTATTCCTTTATTAAAACATCAAGTAGATATATTATGTATCTCACGTAATTTATTCTGGCTAATATATTCCATAGCTAATAATAGGGAGGGGGAGGGGGGGTGGGGGAGGGGTGAGAGGGTGCCGGGGTAGGATGAGGGAGGAGGGAAGGGTGGAGTGGGGTGTGAGGATGAAGCTGGAGGGGTGTTAGTGGGGGGGGGGGAGTAGGGTGGGTGTGGGAGAGTGTAAGGGATACATACATACATACATACATACATACATACATACATACATACATACATACATACAATCGCTACACAGGCAGGATATGTAAACGTGAATATGAGGTGGAGAGACGCTGATATGGTCCGGGGTCAAGTATTCATGACCAGGATTGACTCTACGACAGCCAGGGAGGCGAGGCAGTACTTCTAGGAGAGGCAGACCATCCAGTGTCTTGTAGGAGGCATTGACCACTACACTACACTACTTTCAGATTTACACCATAAACGTTTTCTCTCTCCAAATAACAAACATCCTTACGACCTCGCTAGTCAGTATTGGGTATAATAGGTTAAGTATAAGGAGAAATGTATACAGTAGGATTGTAGGATTTAAAAGATATCCCATCAGTGGTATCTTACGGGTAATCCTTCAAGCTGCCATTGAAGGTTGTGAGGAGGCTGAAGGCTTGTAAGATATATCCTACTAGATCACTTACAGGCTGTAGGATCTTCCCCACTGTTGTTATCCTTCGGCCATAAATCCTAGTAGAGGGTTCATTATCCTTCAGGGCGCCTATTGTAGGTAATAAGGAGTCTGTGGGAGCGTAAGGAAACTCCTGCAGAAGTTGGTCCTCAGGGACCTGGACGAGCCGGGTCCTCCACGGCCTTGTACTTCACTCCAACTTGGAGGTAAGGAAGACAAGTGCTACTCCAAGGATTCTCCAAGCTCAGGTGTCCTCTCTCTCAACACCACCCAGTATCAAGGACAAAAAACACAATTGTCTTTATCAACATTTTATTGTAAACAGATTGAGAAGATCATGATGCGTAATATAGCTTCGTACACAGGATATGGTGAAGTATGTTAGTACAGTGAGAGGACCAGATAAACAGGACTTTTCTGGGGGACTTACTGGGGGAAGGAAGAGGGGGGAAGGTGAGTTCCTTTGTGGTGGAGGGGGGGGGAGAGTGTGGGTTCCTTCTTGGGGGGAGGAGAGAGTGTTGGTTCCTTCGTGGTGGAGGAGGGGAGAGTGTTGGTTCCTTCGTGGTGGAGGAGGGGAGAGTGGTTTCCTTCGTAGGGATGGGGAGGGTGAGGGTTCTTCTGGTCTCTCCTACAAGAAGGGGGAAAAGGGACCAGTTCTCGGTGTGTGTGTCTCCTACGGGTTTCGGCAGATAGGTTACTCACAGCTGTTGGGATGACCAGCTGATTACTAGTAAACAAAAGAGGCAGGTGTGTAGACCTCGGAAATAAGAAAATGTGGATATCTGCTGTGTACATATGTGATCCTTAACGTTAAACACACCTGCGCACACACAGACATCTGTTGTTAATTGTAGAAACAGATGCATCCTACACCTGCATACTGTTTAAAATGGATCTGTTCATTTTAAACATCTGCCCTTTCTCGTGGATGGCATTACAGAGACACCACACCTGCACACAGACGACAAATGATAACCACAGAAGATCTTAAACATCTATAATCTCTGGTAAACACTACACCTGTTCTTTCCTCTTTTATTGACAACATCTGTTCTAGAGATTCACAGGTGTTGTCAGCATTTAAAGACCACCAATAATTAGTCTTTCGATGTTGTTCTTCGTTAATGAAAACATCATCATATAAACATCCACCAGAACACAACATCTCCCCCGAGGACGATATACATATATATATATACTATATATATTAGAATCAAAACATTGGCACATGGGATCATATACATTGGATCAAATATACATATGGTTATTATACATTCATCTGTTTTATCACACTGTAGGGAGTTGACATGAGAAAGAAACACGTCTATGATCACCTCTCTTCCCTGGCTAACACTGTTACCACACCGGGGGAGGAAGTGGTGAAGGAAAGGGTAACACTATGGATGTGGCAACACTAATATTTCCCTAAATATAAATCCCATTCTGATATAGAGGTGAATAATACCTAGATACTGTATGAAGCAACATGGTCTCTTTAATATTTTTTCATACATAAAACAGCTGAGACCATCATTGTATTTATTGTATGTACAGAAAAGTATATATTTTTTTTAATTAGTAAGGTCCGGTTATTGCACTGTACAATCACCATTTGTGATATAACGGACACCTCGTTTATCCGTACATTTTCTGTTGGGCATTCGTGATTCACCGGACACCATGTATATCCGGATTATTTCTATTCAATACCCATTCCTTATAAACTGGAAAATTCGTTTAACCGGACATTTTCTATCTGTAACCACTCATATTACATCGAACACTTCTTCGTTTACCGGACTTTTCTATCTATAAACCGGACAGTTCAAAAAGCCAACAGCAAACACCTCATTTATGCGTGTCTAATATCTATTTATGAACCGGATATGTCAAAAATGCACACACACACACACACACACACACACACACACACACACACACACAGTTTGTTTTCCGGACACCACACGGAAACGGGTATCCATTAAACCGGACAGCATATATAACATTGATTAATTCGAACATAATACAAGTTCACTTCATTAACCGAAAACCTTGATCAGTGTGTGTGTGTGTGTGTGTGTGTGTGTGTGTGTGTGTGTGTGTGTGTGTGTGTGTGTGTGTGTGTGTGTGTGTGTGTGTAAGGGATAGATGGATGTCTGTATATATGTATGTATAAACGTGTGTGTATACTTGTGTGTGTATGTGTCTGTATAGAATAGAGATATGATGGTTGGACGTAGACTTGCATATGTATGTATGTATGTATGTATGTATGTATGTATGTATGTATGTATGTATGTATGTATGTATGTATTTATGTATGTATGTATGTATGTATGACCGTGAAAATACAAGGAAATACAGACCAAAAACAGCCATTGAAAATAATACATCACACGCCTATACACACCCAGGCCACACCCTATCATCGCATACACTTGGGCCACATCCTGTCATATCCCACACCTGGGCCACATCCCCATATCCCACACCTTGGCACATCCCCCACATATCCCACACCTGGGCCACATCCCGCCACATATCCCACACCTTGGCCACATCCCGCCATATCCCAGCACCTGGCCACATCCCGCCATATCCACACCCACCCACATCCCGTCATATCCACACCTACCATCCCATATATCCCACACCTTGGCTATATCCCGTCATATCCACACGTGGGCCATCCCGCCATATCCCACACCTTGGCCACATCCCGCCATATCCCACACCTGGGCCACATCCCGCCATATCCCACACCTGGCCACATCCCGCCATATCCCACACACCTGTGCCACATCCCGTCATATCCCCACACCTGGGCCACATCCCACATATCCCACACCTTGGCACATCCCGGCCATATCCCCACACCTTGGCCACATCCCGTCATATCCCACACCTGGCCACATCCCGCCATATCCACACCTGGCCACACATCCCGTCATATCCCACACGTGGCCACATCCCGCCATATCCCACACCTGGCCACATCCCGCCATATCCCACACCTGGGCCACATCCCGACATATCCCACACCTTGGCCACATCCCGCCATATCCCACACCTGGGCCACATCCCGCCATATCCCCCACCTTGGCCACATCCTGTCATATCCTACACCTGTGCCACATCCCGTCATATCCCACACCTGGGCCACATCCCGCCATATCCCACACCTTGGCCACATCCCGCCATATCCCACACCTTGGCCACATCCTGTCATATTCTACACCTTGGCCACATCCTACATTATACAAAACATTATATTCATCTATCCTATAATCTGTTAAATACGAAAAAATATATAATTATGAAACATATTCTTCCATGTGAAATTATATTGTTTGAAGGTATAATTAAAGACAAATTATATGTACTCGTATGTCGATATAATCTTAAGCAAGGTCAAATTATATGTTTGTTATATTCACATTAGATAATTATACCATATTATAATACTGGTGTGGAAATAAAAATAATTGGTGTTAGTAATTATATAATGCCTTCATATTTCTAATGGAAGGAATTATTACATATATAAACCTCATTAACCTCAAGGTGTATAAAGGTAATTATCATCAAGGTAATTAAAGTTATTTATATTCCAAGTAATTAAAGGCAATTGACTCTTAAGGTAAAGTAAAGTCATTATTTCCCAAGTAATTAAAAATAGTAATATAATGTGTTTTCCTCCCAAAGGTAATTAAAATTATATCTTAAAGGTAATTAAAAGTAATTATCCCCCATGTAATTAATGGTACTCACATCCTTATATATTACTAATAAAAAAAATCAATTAAAACATGTAATTCAACTAAAAACAAAACAAACTCTGTATTTTGGCTCTGTGTGTGTGTGTGAGAGAGAGAGAGAGAGAGAGAGAGAGAGAGAGAGAGAGAGAGAGAGAGAGAGAGAGAGAGACCCGTCACTGGCCAAAACACACAACTTCCTCCGAGCTACACAGACGCTGGCACGGTTATGGATGGTCCGCGGTATCTCACTGTTGGTCACGGATGGTCCGGCGCGTCTTGGAATGTTCCTCTGTGGTCTAGAATGGTCTTACACGGTCATAGATGGTCTACAATGGCCTGGGAAGATCTCACAGTAGTCACAAATGGCCTAAATTGGTCTGGGGGTGGTCTTACGCGGTCATAATGGTTTAGGAAGAGTTTAAAACCACTGTGTACGTCAACCCATAAATCCAAACTGATATGCATAAAACAGGCAAATTGGAGAAACTTTCATAATTGTGTTTTATTAATCCAGGTGTGTTAATTATTTATTTCATGTTTGTCTGTCAGGAGGAGGAAGACGAAGTAGAGGGGGAGGAGGGGAGGGGGAGGAGGAAGAGGGGAGGGGAGAGGGGGGAGGAGGAAGAGGGTTATATGATGATGATAAGAAATAAAGTTGGAAATATGTGGAATGTTCCTCCTAGACACACACACACACACACACACACACACACACACTCAACATGAGGTATACAGTATATAGTGAAGATGTATTATGTTCCTACAGTGACGTCAAGGAGAGTGTATAAGAGAATGCTGAGGTTAAACTTTCACCAATAAGAAGGTGGACAATTTTTCAGCCATTAGAAAGTGGGCAAGTTTTCACCATTGCTGACGTGAGAGAAAGAGGAGGGGGGGGGAAGAGAAAAGAAAGCATGGGAGAATAAAGAGAGGGAGAAGAAAGCGCAAAGGATAAGGAAAGAGGTGACACAACAAAGAATAAAGGCATGGCAAAGAGAGGAAGAAGGGACACAGGGAGGGAGAGAAGAGTGTAGTGATAATCATGGAGACAGAAGAGGGAGGACAAAGAGAAAGATAATAAAGGAGACATGAGGAAAGGGAGGCGATAACTAGTGCTGGATGAAGAGACAGAGGGAGGAAGAAGAAGCGAAGGGTAGATAGAGGTTAATGGTAATAAAGGAAACACAAGGCAAGGGAGGAGGTAGGTGGTGCTCGACCTGCTCCTCTTGGCTACAGGTGAGTCACAGAGCTACTGGATTACCTAAGTTAATTACATCTAAGAATGATATAGGGCTGTATCACAAACACGTATGGTTGGCAGAGAGTACGAGTTGTCTGGCAGCGTTACGGTCTTCCACATGACGGTACACACTCTTGATAGTAGTTACACAGCCGTAGTTACACACCCAAACATTTATTAGTACCGTAGACAGCCAACTAGGTACACGCCTTAGCATGTTGGTGTAGCGGTACGTGTCAGCTGATAGACCGTGACACAGGTGGTTGTAGTGGCACGTACCAACTGCCAGACACGGACACGTAGCAGGGACAGCAAAAACACATGTCCCCATACTGGTTCAACACAAGGTTCGACGCCTATCACATATCACAACACTGGCCCTGTGTGACCCCCCCTCCTCCTCAGCGTTACTCCCTAGCCACCAGGAGGCCAGTGAGTAAGGAGCACAGGCTGATGAGGATGACGTTGAGGATGGAGGTGTGGATACTTGAGATGGCTGACGAAGGATGGTTATGAAGGGAAGGAAAGGAACCAAACTGCATCCCCGACGTGTTGTGGTCCTCCTCTTCCTCCTCTTCCGGATCTGGGGAAACAAAAGACACACAAAAAATGAGCATCAGAAAAAGAAAAAAGATGGAAGAGGAAGATATTTTGTTTTTTCGTTATTTACTTTGTCTCATTAGTTATTCAGTATCTAGTTTAGTATTTACTGTTGTACTGTAAGCTAAGGCAGTCATAGGCACAGTTCAAACACATGTGAAGCTTTGATAATGCAGTAGTTAGATGAGTCATGCATTGAGATAGAAACAGGAGTGAGATGATCCTTAAAGACGAAACAGACAGGCATAACAGATGATAAAACAGAGAGAGAAATAATGAGGGGTGGGTGAGAGAGAGACAGACGAAGAGAGAGAGAGAGAAAATGAGAGAGAATCACCTTGAACCATTCTTTTACACTATAAGATTCTAAGTTGCTATAAGGATCGAGATTTTTATGCTATATATGAACACGTCATCTTCTCCACTAATACCCACTAATCTCACTACATTCCTCCTCCTTCTCCACGTCCGTCCTTCCTTTTATTCACCATCATTCGTCCACTCCTCCTTCTACTCGTCTTTCTCCTCCTCCACACCATCATCATCCTATTCTTTCTTCCTTTCTTTCACCATCATTCGTCCACTTATCCTCTTCCTCCTCATTTATCCCAGTATGGCCTCGACTGACTGACCTTTCTTCTTGTTCTTGCCCAGCAGCTTCTGAACATCGAACTCAATAACACCATCAGGAGTTACGGTAGAAACCATGTCGTCGTCAGGGTCGTGGCGTCGCCCCCCAGATCTCCCGTCGGTCCCTCCAACTGGGCCCTCTGAAAACGTCTCTCGCGGTAATCCTCACACAATGTTGAAAAGTCTCTCACAGGTGCTATGATAATTTGTTTTTTTGTCTCTCTGGGTTGAATCTCTCTCTCACTTATCGTTGTTCTCTCGTACATGTCAAATCCATTGGTTATTTTTTTATGGTAAAACTACAGTAAAAATTCACTATAAAAAGGTTTCATCTTCTTTCTCTTTTATCTCTCTCTCTGATTGCCTCAGAATATCACCAGGTAGACAATCATCATAAGTGCTTCACGTAATTACTTATATTGTAAGTAAATATCTCAACCTCCAGTAAGTGTCTGGAGTCACTTAAACTCACTAAAACTAAAATATAAGTAAGA